CTTGACTAACTTTTGCCAATTTGCATCATTTATCGCGTAGACGAGATATCTGTCTACTAACCAAAGGGCGCGTTTACTGAGCAGCAGTTCGTTCTGTCCTACTTCATGGCAGTGAAACATGGCCAGTAAGAGTAGAGGATATTCGTAGGTTACTAGTATTCGATCATAAGTGTCTTCGAAGCATTGATCGTATATCCTAGGACAACTGAGTCAGTAATGCAGTTGTTAGTAAACTGGTACTAGGTAAGGATGACAAAACAACTGATGAAGTAGTGAAACTTCATCAGCTGAGATAGCTGAGACACATTTTACGTCTGCCCAACCACCGACTGCTCCAACGTGCGATGTCTTATGGTGTAGGAGTAGGTTGAAAGAAAGCTAGGGGTGGCCAGACCAAAACATGGTACGAATCCATAAAGTCACTGACAAATGGACTGAGCCGTGTTGTTAGGTGTAGACTACCTGGTTGGGGTCCGCGAGATGATAGAAACCGATGGTTAGATACCTTGAATGACATGGCTTAAAATCGTTTGCAATAGTGCAGGTGCATCCACTCTTTGCGTTCTACCAAATTCTAACCTTCTGAATTATTCTTGCCCCTTTCTTTTTTCTCTTTCCAAATTTGTTTCACTGTATTATACTCCTTGACTAACATCTTCGAACCCTAATCTTTCCGATTACTGCTTATACTTTTACTATCTCTACCACTATGGGATTTGAATGGAAAACTGCATCTCTATACTAATGTGGTATGGCAACTCGAACTGATGTACGTACGTACGAAGTTCTACGTTGTTACTAACTGACTGAGTAATCAATTGCTTTATATTTAGCCAGACAAAAGAACTAAATGAATATTCAGGCATTGTATTCAATCTTAAATACTTATTTATGCAAGCATAAAGACAGATACAAATTTCCGTTTGTCCACCAGCATACATGATTCCTTATTGCCATATTTAATTGTTTTGGCTGCTTCTCTTTAAGAACGAAACATACAATTCGTTGAAAGTGTGGTTTTTCATTCTAAGAGGCAAATATATATATATAAGTGTAGATGTTGTTTTATATTCTGGTTACCCAAATAAAGCTTTCTTTTCACTCTTGGTGCTTAACTTCCAGAACTCAAATAACTCGGAATTAAGCTTCTGAAATGATGTTGATATAACAGTTATGCACACACTGAGCCAAATAATCAAGAACATAACAACTCTAGAATGAAACGGTCATAAACATAATTAAAGATAGAGATTTATACTACTTGAATACTTTTACATTAAGTCTATGCAATAAATAGGTAGTTGTTAAACTGGTGACGATCAGAGTGTAGTGTGGTGTCGAGTCGCGGTCGACTACGATCACCACTACAGGAAAAGTACGTGTCAGTTAACCGATAAGATTCTCCGTAAGCCAAATATCAAAAGGCAGTTGATGGCTGTAGTCGAGATGTATTCGTTGATGATCTCGTGGTATCGAAAGAATACCGAGATCGTGCCAAAGGAGTACAAGTGTGGTTACTGAGCTTCAGGACTGGTCTGTGTCAACACCTGAACTAAGGATAGGGAGTGAAGTAGTCGAACGCATTGACAACTTCACTTATCTTTGAAGTCCAATCAGTCCTAATGGGTTGGTATCGGACGAAATCTCAGCACGGATTCGAAAAGCTCGTTTGGATTTTGCCAACTTACGTCACCTTTGGCGAAGGCAAGATATCCGTCTATCAATAAAAAGGACGAGTATACTGCGCGGCAGTCCGTTCTGTTTTACTTTACGGCAGCGAAACATGGCCTTTAAGAGTAGAAGACACCCGTAAGCTACTAGTGTTTGACTACAGATGCCTTAGAAATATTGCTGGCGTCTGCTGGGATCACCGGGTAAGTAATAGTGAGGTTAGACGTAGGGTATTAAGGAATGATGGTAAATCAGTTGACGAGTTTGTTAATCTTCATCGACTGAGATGGTTGGGTCACGTGTTACGTATGTCCGAACACCGATTACCACGACGTGCAATGCAAATCGGTGTTGGAGATGGTTGGAAGAAAGTTAGGGGCGGCCAAACCAAAACGTGGCATCAGTGCTTGAAGTCACTAACTTCTAGTCTGAGCCATGTTGGTAGATGTAAACTACTTGGTTGGGGTCCGCGTGACTACCGTAACCAATGGTTGGAGACTGTGGGTGACATGGCTCAGAATCGGTCACAATGGCGTCGGTGTATACACTCTCTGTTTTCCCTTAAACTGTGAGAATAAAATCACCTCATATCTTTCTACTAACTAATTCTTTCTTCCTGTACTATATCCTTATATGCAATCTTTCTCCTATATATTACCACCTTTGACATAACCACCGCTATGAATCCAGTGTTCATCTTGTTGTGCTGATGCGGTATGGCAACTTGGACCGATGCATATATATGCCTGGTCCTACGTTGTGGCTGACTGACTGACTGACTGAGCGTAATCGAACTCGTTGAAGGTCACAATCAAAGGAAGGAAGAATGGAAGAATTATGGATATCTTTAGTACAGTTAAACAAACAAGCACAGTAAAACAGTCATTAGTACAATTGTTTATAATAATAATTGTTTCCATTAAACCAATCGCGTTCTCTTGATAAAAGTAGATCATTACAAGAGTAAGAAATCAATCACATTTAACCATATAAATATTTCTTTTCAATGGAATAAGGTTTACCTTTCATGCAACAAAGAAGATACAACGACTATTCTTGTTTCTTACTTATTTTGTTTTCTAATATGACTTGTTCTACACTTGAAAGTATTGCCATATTTGTCATTTTTAACTATTGAGGAGTCGAAATGTTTTGAAGAAGTTCAAGTTAACTTAAATAATCCAATGATTCGTGAAATAGATATGTAATACAATGCTTATACTAATCGTTTGGTAAGGATCCATATTATTTTTGTTTCTAGACACTAATAGGGTCATAATATCAATAACAGTATCACTGACGGATTAGCAATTTATTAATTCTACAGTAATACACTAATAATAACCAATTATCTTCCTTCTGACTATGTCACCTCAATGTTTGTCACAAAATACACTATTTGATAACTAATAAATTACGAGTATCAAACAATTAGTTGTTATTGATTGAGATCATGAACCGATTGATGTTAGACCACCATTGAAAAACTGTGAGCACCGGACGGCGGTTTCATCCTACTGTGGGACTCCTCAGCAGTGCGCATCTACGATCCCGCCCGCGGAAGTCGAACTCAGAGCCTTCAGTCACGCGCCTGAATGATTAACCTCTAGATCACTGAGTCGGCATCTAAATGTGTTTATATCTAACTTCAACTAATGCACCAAATTGCGCGGCCATCTTCCATTGTACTGAGGTAGATACCTGTATCTACCCGACACGGATTAGCTCCACTGGTCACAGCTTCTCACTAGAACTTCGAGAATTCCCTCACGAAGCTAGTCACTAGTGAGCACACGGTACAATCGAAGATCGTGGCGCAATTTCGTGGATTGGTTGATATTAGATATTAACACCTATGGATTCCAGCCCAGTAGTCTAAATGTTAAGCGTTCGTGCGCGGTAATGAAGGTCCTGAGTTTGAATCCCGCGAGCAGGATCATGGATGTGCACTGCTGAGGAGTCATACAATAGAATGAAACGGCCGTCCATTGCTTCCAGGTTTTCAATGATGTCCTAACACCAATCGGTTCATGATCTCAATCAAAAACTTAATAATCTCTAAAACTCTTTACTGATAATTACTTGTTATTAGGATTAATATCGAAACTCCAAATATAGAGCATAGAAAAATATGTGGATACAAATATCTGTAAGCTAGAAGAACAGAAAAAACCCATAAGCTAACGACTCTTAGATTACATGACGTTCATACGCAACTTAGAATGAACACATTATTTCAAAAGAAATGGGATTTCAGCAGAAGAAATTTTTGTAAGCTCCGCCTAAAGCTCCTTCTAGGGCTGCTGCCGATCCCAAGCTCAGATAAAAGAGTAGGATTGAGAATGGGGTTACCGATTTCATCCTATAGAGAACTAACTCACTAAAAAAACACTAATTAGAAAATAATTCATTATTAAGTATTGATCTTATTACTGCAATGATCAACCATATAAGGATCTCACAATGAGGATTGATATCACTCTTCATCTAACGATATTTGTGAAATACCACTATCAAATAGTATAAAACATAAACTTCATGAATAATAAGACAAATCATTATGATTATCAAAGATAGAACAGTACAGGCTGATGAATGTATCTTTTTATATTTCTCTCTTATTACAACCTGTCTATTCCTATTGGTTAGTAGTCTTGGACATCAATTCACTTGACAAATCACCAAATCAGATCATGGTTGAACAGGAAAGAAATGATATTCCAAATAACAAGGGATAGATGGAAATAAGAAGCACAATCACAGAAATGTTAGTATCTTTATACTACTTACATGAAATGATTCTAAAGTGGTCTTCAACTATCAACTAACGCTGATTGGTTAAGAATTAGTCAATCAACGTACAACAACACAATTCTCCATGGAATATGCTATAATTCAATCTATATCCCCCGTTAACGGATGTGATCATTAAGCTTTCATCCAATTACTTACAAAAGAAGGTTTTTAAGGTTTTAATATTTACCATTCAAGAAAGAATTTTGTTCATCTTCTATCAAATTGGTTACAAATCTCATATAGTCAATCACAACCGCTCAAATGAAATAGGAGACCCTACCAACTAAACTGACATCACAATCTATATAAAAGCACTTCAATATCATACAAATTCTATTTCGTTTGTTTCCATACTAGTTAGTTATTTGTTAACTTACAAATTTATTCCTCCTTGGTAACTAAATAAAATTTTCTCTCCATATTTCGTGCTATTGAGAGAGGTATTAAAGGGAAAATAATCAAACTGCAAAATGATTGGCTCACTAAGATACATATATATGTACATATTTATATACATAACTGTATATATTATGAACTGACACTCTCTATGACCATTAAAACATGAAATGAATTCATTGTCATTCTTACTACTTATTATTATCTTTATCAGTAGTATAGATTTGAAGACATAATTTATTAGACTTATATTGAAAAACAAAAAACAAAACAAAAAGTATGGATAAACATACAGATAATTATCATTATGGTTATGAACAAGAAAAAGATCAATTAGAAACGATTACAAATCAATTAAATGTTTCATCAAATTATGAAAGGTAATTCATATTTCAATAGAATTGTTCTATACTACTTACAAATGTAATCGATACTTTTATTTGATATGATTAAATAATTTTTTCTGGTTAGCGTTTTTTAAGCGAGTTAGTTTTCTACGTGATGGAGTCGCTTACCTCATGCCCAACTCTCCTCCTTTATCCGGGCTTGGGACCGGCAATAGCCCTCGGAGGGACTCCAGACGGAATTATTTGATTTGATTACGTAATTTTATTACTAATGAAAAAAAAGAAGAACCGGCATTAAATACTGCAATATACACTAAATTCCTATTATTAGGGTGATGGGCGAGATTACAATGTATGGACGATCTTTGAACGACGTCAAATTGACTATCAGAGTGTTCATTTAGTAACTAGGACCAAATGAGGATTATAAATCCGTGTATAAGAAATTAGAATTATCATTTTGGGTATTCATCACAAACTGACGTTAGCTATTGACGCTAAAAGTCTATTTAACCAAATAGATGAATGAATTTTGCATCAAACTATGAGACCATTTACCTTATACCTGATTGATTCGTTCATAAAATTATAGTCTCTCCGGATTATGTTTCCTAATTTATCATTGGGGTAGGGTATCATAGATAGATAAGTGAGTAAGTGTTAACTGACAAAAATGTTTGTTTCCTACCGTACATTTAATAGTCTTAGCGATAGATTATAATTACACATTAATTGAAGAAATAGATTTTAATATACAAAGTATTAAATATGATTTCATTGTATTGTGGTGTATGCTACTGATATCGACAGAGATAAGTAGTATATATCATCAATCAAAAGTGAGATGTCTGGAGGCAAAAGATCAAAGAGAAGAGAATGAGAACAAAGAGTGATTGGTATAAAAATGAAGGAACATGCTACAAATGAAGTTTTTACTGTATGATTCGAAGTTTTTACTACGAGAAAAGCTGGACAATGTGTTTTGTGAAGTAATTGTTCGGACTTATAGTATTACGGACAGTAGTTAGGCCTTGTTTTTCGTTAGTCGTTAAATAGTATATGGTAACTCTCATAATCCCCCGTATTCACATGACTGTTTGTCTATGGAAAGTTTTTACAGACATTCTGTTTGTATCGATGGTGAACTATTAAAGTATAAGTCAAGTTGACATATAACTTTAAAAGTCATCTTTACATCAATTCACTGTTCATTATCGACTATATGTATAATGTTGGAGATTCTTAACTAAACTATGAAAATGAATAACATTCAATTCTAGTAAATGTTAATTAATATACAACTTTCATGACTACGAAATTGATCAGTTGTCAGTACCTTGGAGATTGTAAATATACTTCATCATTCACGATTGATTGATCACCACCCAGTGATCAGTCCGACCGGAGGCCAGTCGCGGCCCGAATAGCTCAGTGGTAACGTCTCTGACTGTGAAGCTGAGTGACAGGGGATAGAATCCTCCAGGAGCAACAGTTCCCTCAAGATTACAGGTACACCTTGCTGACGAGTGCCAGGTAGCACGAAACCCGGGTTCAAGGTTTCCTGTCGACTACCTTCAACCACCATCATTAATGTATGTTAACTACGATGAAATTTTTGTGTAAGTAATAAGTTGTTAACAATTGCTGATAGTGATTAAACATTATACGTATTGTATCTATCAAATAGTGAGATATTTTCATCTTGACTATGCAAATTATTTGAATAGTTAATCAAAGATAACATCAAAGACATTTGAGATGATTTCACTTTTACGTAAGTTTTAAAATAGAATATACCAAATCATTATCTTTAATTCACATAAGTAGTTTATTCCTTACTTTAAATTTAAAGTGATTAGGGGTATTTCCTGGAATTCTAGAGCGAAGCCGTGACCAATGGAGTTCAACCGGGCCTGTTGTGAGATAGTAATTCATTGAAGACAATGATGAACGGTGGCGTAATTTCGTGAATTGGTTGTAGTTACACATTAGCATAGATGAGTGGTCTAGAGGTTAAGCGTTCGTGCGCAAGACCGTTAGGTCCTGGGTTGGGATCGCGCAAGTGGGATCATGGATGAGCACTGCTTAGGAGTTCCGCACTAGGACGAAACAGCTATCCAGTGCTTTGAGATTCTCCATGGTAGTCTATCTTCAATCGATTCATGAATTCAACAATTAAATTACTATAATATCCACAAAAAACCTCCTTTCTAATAATAATTATTCAAGAGTTCATGAATACTTATCCAAATACCAATGAACGTTATTTTATTACTGAATTCTATACATGGAAGGATTATCTACGGTGAGAATTAGAATAAAACAACATTCTACTGTTTCATAGGTATTCCAAAACAAATTGGGACAAGGATGTTGGTTAATGATTTAGACTATCTATACTCTAGACAAAATCCTTATAAAGAATATCTACATATAATTTGATGCATAGTGACTGATTCATTCAAGGGATATTATCATAGTCTTTATGAGATACTAAGAAATGTGTATTCAGTCAATTGGGATTCACTCATCTCTGATTGACAATCATTTTCAATATTTGAGATCATGAGTCATTTAAAGCTACACTACCACAGAAAATCTGGAAGCACTGGACGGTCGTTTCGTCCTATTGTGGTACTCCTCAGCCGTACGCATCCACAATCCCACTCATGGTCTAGCTTCAATTGACTCACGATCTTAACTATTGAAATTACTACAATCTCCACAAAAAACCCTTCTGATCCTAATCATTTTGAAACAGGTTTTATTTGCAGATAATAAGAGCACAGTTATCAGAGTATAACTACAGGTATTAAAACGTAAACTCTATAAACTAATGGCCAGATACATTATTCAGTGATCAGTGTTCTAAAAGAAGAGGCGGTACTGCTTAAATTCTTTATTTTACTTTTTTTAAATATCTAGATTACCTTCTCCTTTACCAGTTCAATCATCATTAAGTAAGTCCCTCTTTTTCTAGTTTGATTTCTATAATTATCAGTATAGGGTTGTAGAGATTATTAAGTTTTTGATTAACATCATGAATCAATTGATGTTAGACCATTATTGCAAACCTGGAAGCATTGGATGACTGTTTTATCCTACTGTGGGACTCCTCAGCAATGTGCATCGATGATGCTGCTCATGGGATTCGAACCCAAGACCTTCAGTTTCATGTGAGAACGCTTAACCTCTAGACCAATGAGCAAGTATCCAACGATGTTATTCGTACTTAGAAAAGATAATTAGATTTGATCACAAATACCATTTGTTTTATTAATTTCATCTGATACAGTTTACTCAATGGTTGGAGACTCTTGGTGACATGGCTCAGAATCGATCACAATGGCGTCGGTGTATACACTCCCTGTCTTCCCTTAAACTAAGAGATTAAAATCGCTTCATATCTTTCTTTCTACGAACCAATTCTTTCTTCTTGTACTATATCTCTATATGCAATCTTTCTCTTACATATTACTACCTTTGACCTAACCACTGCTATGAATCCGGTGTTCATCTTGTTGTGCTGATGCGGTATGGGAACCTGGACCGATGCACATATGTGCCTGGTCCTACGTTGTTGCTGACTGACTGACTGAAACTATGTTTTTCGTTTAAACACAAAAGTTGGTTCAAAAGAAATAAGAAATGGAAACATAGTTCCTTGTGTTATATTGCTGTGAATATCTAACTTTGATTGTCCTATGATCTTGAGTAAGCTTTCATCCATTGTTTGAGGTAGATAACTGTCTCAACCCGACATGGATTGGTCTAGGTTAGATTGACTGATGAATTTAACTATTAAACTTATTACAATCTCCATAAATTCTCATTTTGATAATAATCATGTACTCATTAGTGACTAGCTTTATGATAGATTTCTTGGAGTTCTAGTGAGAAACCGAAACCACTGAAGTTGAATCTGTGTCGAGTGAAGATGGTTGTTGACTTCAGACAATAGGTAAATGGTTGTGGGTGATCATGGATCGACTAAAGTTAGACATTAACATCGTTGAACTCTAGTTCAATGGTCTAGAAGTTCGGTGTTCTAGAGCAAGTCTTACATGCAGGATCGTGGAAACGCACTAATGTGAAGTTCTATATCAGAATGAAACGGCCATTCAGTGCTTTCAAAGTTTCTATGATGGTCTACCTTTAGCAGTAGAATCTAAGATGGGCATTTCACCCTATTTTGGGACTCGTCAGCTGAATGTACCTACATCTTAGAATTGTTATTCACTCCAGGTCTCGAATCCAGTACCATTCGTTAAGTGAACATTGGGATAATGTTTGAAGCGAACAGTGTTGGGTTTGAGTCCCAGTGTAAACATCAACTCTGAGATGTAAATACATCTATTTGACAAGTTCCAAATAGGATGAAACGCACATCTTGGATTCTACTACTCTAACCACTATTCATCTTTACCTACAATATTAAGAATCTTTCATAAGACAAAATGAAAGGAATAATCACATATCAATAATCTGTTACAGGTAAATGTCATTCATTTAATGTTCATTGTACTTGATACACTGAACGGTTTAAGTAATTCAGTAGATTAAACATTTGAATTCAACTCAACTTCATTGTAACAAAATCTGCTTCAACAGATGGAATGTATTTCAGTGATCTATCGAGGAATAGGTTATAAATAAGATTTTTGGCATGGTTCCAATGATCTAATTGATCAATTAGATAAGATCACTGGGAATTTGTCTATTCAGATTACATTTGATTTATCATTAGTTTTCATAAGACTGATTTTTTCCAATTAGAATGGAGAATGTTTATTATAATGTATGTTCTTTTAATGGTTAAGATCATGAGTCAGTTGAAGCTAGATGATCATGGAAAATCTGAAAGCACTGGACGGCCATTTTGTCCGATTGTGGGACTCCTCAGCAGTGCGCATCCATGACCTCGCCCCTGAGAGATTAGAAACCCAGGACCTGCTGGTTTCGCGCGCCAGCACTTGAATGCGAACTGCTGAGGAGTCTCACGAACGGCCGTCCAGTGCTTCCAGGTTTTCCATGGTGGTCTAGCTCATGATCTTAACCATTGAACTTACTATAATATTCACAGAACCCATCTGGAGCTTTCATTGTTATTCTGATGATCCATATCCAGTACAAACTTTAAATAGAACAATTAAAACTTCATGACCAAACCATCTAATTCAGAGAATAAAATTCTACCTGAGCTATAAATCTTTTTCATCATCAACAAATGTAAGTTTAGTACCTAATACTTAACAGATAGGAGGAATGGAGCTGGTGAATGAGCAAATCAGAGTACCTTCTTCTTTCCTATAATGTTTATAATTGAGATCTAGTTTAGAATTATGTAACACTACAATAATAAGTCTTAACTATTTGGTTCTACTTATGTTGTTATGTAAATTCCCATATACAACTACATTCAATACACCATTCAAATATTGATTGTTCTATTGTATTGTCCATGATAGATATAGCACGTCTTTTAAATTTAGATTTACCCGCATATAAGGTGGTAGTAACAACAAAACAAAAGTGTAAATGACGTAACTATTTTAAGGGAAATCTGTCTCTTTTTCAAATATCATACCCTTTTCAATATTGATTTTCTTTATACATAATTCGAATAATATACGGGTGTTTGTATACTATTTACAGTAATCATTTCAGTAGTATATAATGTTTATTATAGATTTAACATCTTGTTAAGATTGAATATGACATCATAATGAATATGATTACTTTTGATGGAGTTTTGTTCTCTCAGCTGGATGATTTGGTTGTGGAGCTTTCATCGTTCTTCTGAACGACATCATCATTAGCACAAACTTGAGATAGAAGTGAAGTGTTCGAATTTCTCCATATGTGTTTCACAGCTTGTTCTGTACACCTCGACGTTGATTGGTTCTTATTGACCTTAAATTGGTCATTGTTTACTTCTTTGTTTTGGTTGTATCTCCCATTGGTTTGGTTTTTGTTCCTGATTGATTGATAAATTGGATCGATATCAATGTGCTTATTGATTGCTGATTGACTTGAGTGTCAAGCTGCTAAAAATTCTTTGGTGTTTTTGGAATTTCCTCTATCCAAGATTTCTACATTTTTCCAGTCGAATAAGTGTCCGCAGTTGTCCATGTGGATTGATATAAGTGAGAAAGTATCATGATTACTCTTTTCTTTTTGTTTTGCTTATTCATTGTTATGTAATAACTGATTACAAGATATGGGACTTTCAAGCAAATGATTAATTTCGGTCAGGATTTACTGTAATATTTGATGATTCCAACTATACAGAAACGGATTCATTCTTGATGATGATGATGATGACGATAATGTCAAGCTTAAGATTCTAAATCAACTTGTGGTGTATGCTACTGATATCGACAGATATATAAGTAGTATGTATCATCAATCGAAAGTGTAATACCTGTTGACTAAAGGTTAAGAGAATTGAAGAATAGAGAACGAGAACAAAGAATGATTGATGTGGAAACAAAAGAACAATGAAATCTGAGACGACTGACTGATATTTTACAAATGAGGAATTTACTGTATGATTCTGACATTTTACTAAGATGTTCCGTAATGTTATATTCTAATACATTCGATTGTCCCCATTTGTGTTATCGTTCACTACAAACGGACCAGTCATAACATAATATACATGAGTGTTACTCCGTTAACATCAATCAGTAGTAATGTCTAGAATATAACATTTCGTATTCTTTAGTCAATGAGATAGAATCCTGCAACATAGATTGCCTACGATACTTATCCACACTAAACGATTTCAATCATTGAATGCTCATTCAGTGGTCTAAAGATTAAACGCTGCGAAGCGTGGAGGTTAGGGATTCGATCCATCATGTTTGCACACTGGTGAGGAGTCTCATACTAGGATGAATTATTGATTCAGTATTTTCTGATTCTCATTCGTTACTAACTGATGGAGAACCGTAAAATAGATAGTGAAGTAATGTTGTTGTTGGTTCAGTTGAAATGCCATTCGTACTAATATTCTTACAGGAATATACGTATTCCAGTATGCTAGTCTATCATAAAATTCACGTTATTCATTGGCTGACTAAAGGTAGTTATCATAAAACCCTGCTCGACATAGGTTTCGATCGGGTTAGGACTTGTCAAGAAGATTACCTGGAATCTTGAATGAACTGATTCTCTTTCTTGTATTCGAACAAAGTTATCCAGTTTGACATTTTGAGTTATTACTAATGAGCTATTGTGCCAGCTACTAACTTTGTTTCAGATTGAAATACTTAAAATTGGTCAGTCAAAGAGTCATTACCAATGTTAAGTTAATCTAGTCTTCAGAAATTATAAAATCTTACCTCCGAGCACTTAACATCAAAACATTGTGCCTCAGATATCGAGTCACATAGACTAGTGATCAAACATTTTAACTTGATCCAAGACAGAGTTGGATGGCGAATGCTGGTGGGTGGCCTGTGCTCCTCCACGAGGGGTAACAGGCGTAAGTAAGTAGGTATAGAGTCCGACCATCACTAATGACTAAACAAATATGCATTATTTAGTAGAATATATGAATTGTTTATTTAGATCGACTCCCACAGTACTGAATATTCAATCCTTTTCAACACAACATATAGTTGTTATTAAATAAACCTTATTTAGAAGGTACTTCTCATAGTAGCATCTGGATTTAAAAGGATGACAGTAAATGAAATGCGAGTATGAAGAAGATTTTCATCATAGATTGGAGAGACATGAGATTATTGAAAATCAAGAAATAATTCAAAAATCGTTTCTTTCAGTTTAAGACTTTTCTGAAGTACATACCTAAGATCTTCTGAAGGATCAAATCTAGTATCTTTGGATTTAGTGGTAAGCAATTTGGGATTGATACTATCGAGTTAATGTTTAATAGTCGACATCTTCTACTTCTACCGATATATATATATAATTGATCAGTTTAGTGGTTGGCTTTTTGTTCATTACGACGTAACAAGACTTGGTTTTCTTTGTGCATAAAGTACACTAGAAACAAACTGTTTTTTGCACATAAATGACAGGAGGTAAAAATCTATTCTCATACTTGTCGGATATTATTGCCAAAGAACATATTCACAAATAATGATTATTATCAAAACAAGAGATGGCCATTTCGTCCCAGTGTAGTACTCTTCATCAGTGAGCATCCATAACCTTGAATGTTGGACACGAAATCAGGACCTTTAGTCTCGCTAGCAGACATTTAACCTATAGACCAACGAGTCGGAATCTAACAGTTTTAATGTCTCATTTCAACCGGTCCATGATCTCGTACAACATCATCATCATCCAAGTCCAGTGCATCCAGGTTTTCAATGGTGGTCTATCTCAGATCAATTCATGAAATCAACCGTTAAAATAGTGCTTAATTTAAATGCTTTGTTGATTTTATTCCAATAAATTACTTACCTACTTACGCCTGTTTCTCCCAATAGAGCATAGGCCACCGACCACCATTCTCCAAACCACCCTGTCCTCAGTCTTCCTTTTCAGTTCTATCTAATTGTTGTTCATTTTTCTCATGTCTATATCCATTTCCCGGCGTAATGTGTTCTTTGATCTTCCTCTTCTCCTTTGACCCTGAGGATTCCATGTGAGGACTTGCCTTGTGACGCAGTTGGATGCTTTTTTCAATGTGTGTCCTATCCACTTCCAGCACTTATTCCTGATTTCTTCCTCCACTGAATTCTGGTTTGTTCTCTCCCGTAGTAGGTTGTTGCTGATAGTGTCTGGTCAACGGATCCGAAGTATTTTGTGTAGACAGTTGTTAGTAAACAGTTGTATCTTCTGAATGATGGCTTTCGTAGTTCTCAAAGTTTCCGCCTCATGAAGTATAACTGTCTTGAGATTTGTATTGAAAATTCTGACTTTGGTGTTGGTTGACAGACAGTTGTTTTGAGTTGCAAATGGTCTTCAATTGTAAATATGCTGCTCTTGCTTTGCCGATCCGCGCCTTCACATCCGCATCAGGTCCACCGCGTTCATCAATAATGCTGTCCAGATATTTAAAGGTTTTTACATCTTTCAAATCTTTCCCATCAATTGTGATTCGATTGTTGTATGCTGTGTTGTATCGGAGGCTAACACATATAGTATAACTTAACACTTATGTTAACTGATTAACTGTATTCATAAAGAACTTAATCCGTAAAGTCATGTTATCGGAGGTGAGTGATCTCATTTCATCTACCACATTGATTAGTATAGATAGATAAATCTTTAAGTTAAAAAAGACCAATCTTAATGTTAGGTATTATGGTGAATGTAACACTATACGAAAAAACAAAACGAATATTTTTTGTTTATCGATAAATGCTTTATAAGCAAAGATGGATAGTGGTTAACAGTTGAATTGAGGACACGCGTTTCGTCCTATTCGAGACTCGTTAGCTGAATGTACCTGCATCTCAGAGTTGATGTTCACTCTGGGACTCGAACTGAGCACCGTTTGTTTCAAACGTCATCGCGTTATCCATTTAGCTACTGAGTCCTGACTTTAGGCTATATCGAGGCATCCGAATAGGTTGCACATATACCAACATGAGACTGATCAGTTACAGTCCTAAATAACAATGGTAAGATTCAAGTAAAACAACACCAAATGAATTCAAACTTCATCACAGTGTACAAGCAAGTGATTAACAGGACTCAATAGCTGATTGGGTAACGTGATGATGTTTGAAGTGAACGGCAATAGGTTCGAGTCCTAGAGTGGGATGTAGGTACATCCAGCTCACAAGTGCCAAATAGAATGAGACGTGCATCCTGGATTCCACCACTAGCCACTATCCATCTTTCCATAATAATATATAGGCTGTTTAATGAAACTATTGTAATTTCTTTCGTTTCTTTTTAATGAATAGATGATCATTGTCATGAACATTCTACAGTTAGTTCAAATATAGATAAAAATGCTAGAAGAAAATTAATACTTGCCAGTGGTCTATGCTTATTTTTTATGACAGGTGAAATAATCGGTATGTTTTTTAAGATTTATCTATTTTACTACTTATGAACACTATTTAAGTAATATGTTTAACTTTTCATGAAAAAATGAAAAAAATATCTATGAATTTATATAACCTTTTATGAAGTAGTTTGATTGATAAGCAAAGATGGATAGCGGCTAGTAGTGGAATCCAGGATGTACTTCTCATACTATTTGGGACTTGTAAGCTCGATGTACCTGCATCTCACTGTAGGACTCGAACCTATTACCGTTCAAATCAAACACCATCACGTTATCCACTTAGCTGTTGAGCTCTCATAGTCAATCTAAGATGTCTTATGATATTATATGATGAAAATTAGCTTGGGATGTTCTGGAATAGTCACTTAAAACAAATTATCAGTATAGGGTTTTGGAGATGATTAAGTTTTTGAATGAGATCATGAAGCGATTGTTGTGTTAGACCGTCATCGGAAACCTGGAAGCATTGGATGGCCGTTTCATTCTATTGTGAGACTCCTTAACAGTGCATATCTACGAACCTGCCCGCGGGATTCGAGCTCAGTGCCTTCAGTCGCGCGAGCGCGCTCTTAACCTCTAAACCACTGAGCCAGCATACAACGTTGTTAATCATTGGTGTTATCGTTGGACAATTCTTTATTTTTCTTCTCAAATTCGAAGTTATCTCAATAGCTCAGAGGAATCGAACCTATTAGATGAAGAGAAAGCAATAACATACTATGAATTCATTGTATTCTGTAACTAGTTTAAGATCTTACTTTATTCAAATTTGTGAACAAGATCAATTACATAGAGCTCATTAACAATTATATGACTAATGATTAATATTATTGAATAAGTAATGTGGAAATATAACTGATGAGGACTCCATATGGAGGGTTATTATTTATACTTTTACTGAGTGATTAGTAGACGCTTATGTTTGACATTGCACAGGATTCATTGGGGGATCATCTGTTCCCTAAACACTATAGGTGCATCTTGTTGGCGTAGAACCAAACAACACAAAACCTAAGTTCAGGGTTTTCTGATGACTACCTTCAATCAGCTCCTTAGTGAGAGCTTTACATTTATGTTCTTTTTGAATGGGTTGAGTTTGATTTCAATGATTTGATAGCGATGGCGTCGAGATAACGAAGTAAATTCAAACAAATTAGTTTGAGCAGTATTAGAATATTAACATTGTGTCTGCTATCATCCTAATCTTCTACATTTGGATCAAGAAAACAGAAGTAATATTGAGTAAAATTCACAATGAATAGAAGAATACAATTTTGTCTTTTCATCTTGTTATATCACTGAAGAATCTTATTTTTATGTCTTTTGCGTCTGTCAATATAACACCGGTTTATATTGACATTGGCATTGCGTTATACCAATGATACATTAACCAGTAAAAGCAATCGAAAGTCATCTCTAAGTTCTTATTAGTCCTCTGAGATACTAACTTCTTGCCTAACTCGACCAGTTCAGTTCAGAACAAAAAGATCAACCTCCGCTATATGAATCATGTATTTCAAACACGCACACAAGCCGAACGGGGCTGTTAGTATGGGATACTGTAGCTAATAAATAGGGGATAACTCAAGAATGGTAGCCAATAGGTCAAATGGAAGCTTGTGATAAAAGGAATATAAGTATTTTGGTGGTGTTTTGTTCTCTGAGCTGGATGGTTCGGTCGTGGAGCTTTCATCGTTCTTCTGAACGACATCATCAGCACAAACTTCAGATAGAAGTATACATATAGAAGTATACATATAATCTAGTTGCTTAATACTTATCCAATAAGATTATCTGTAATAATAGTCCATAAATAATTCCTAGCGGTTTCCATTCATTTATTCTTTAGTTTATTTATATATATGAACACATAAACATTGGTACAAAGGGGGCACCGAACACATATACACCACACAAAAGTCATTTGATTTGTGTGTAGGGCATAGTACTACCCGGTTGACCAAACTGAACCAGGCGATTTTCTTAGGGGGGCCACATTCGAAGCCTTCGATCTAAAGGTCTGATTCACAAGACAATGTGTCAACGTTAGGAGATGCAGTCTCATGGTAGCCGGTGACCAACAATAGGTCCTGATGCCGTATGTTCCTTCAAGATCATAGAGCATATGTGCACCATTGGTTTGTAATGAGGGTGCTTTAACTCCTCTAGGTGAACTCTCCATGTCCCCCAATCCGGTTCAAGTGCCGGATATTAGTTTTTCGTCTATTCAATTTCGTGAACAACACTCGCGCCACGAGAAGTCAGTAAGTAGGACTTCCCTGGAAGTGGTTGTATGCATGTAGCCATGTGAGAGCATATGAAGAGAGAAAGCTGACCCTCCCCACCTTTAACCGTACTAAAGTATTTAGGGTGATCATCTATAACAAGATCAAATAGCCACCCAATACATCCAATGATTATCTAACTAATATCCATTTATGATTTAAACTTTGAAAATTCATCAATGTCTACAACTTCCTCATTAAGTATAAATTACTTATTTTAAATAAGTAGTATCGTAGGAAGTAATATAATCATTTTGTTTATTCTGTCATCAAACCGGAACTTAGTAATTATGATAATTAATTTAAAATTTTATGTTTATTAAAATGATAATTATGATTGAATGAATTTCAATTCATTGGGTTTAAGACTACAATTGATCAGTCTCTCGTCGGTATATGCACATCCTGTGCAGACTGCCTCGATATTGCCTTAATTCACAAGTATTATAAGCAGAGATGGATAGCGGCTACCAGTGGAATCCAGTTTGACGCGCGTTTCGTCCTGTTTGAAACCCGTCAGCTGGGTGTACCTGCATCTCAGAGTTGAGTCCCAGAGTGAATATCAACTCTGAGATGCAGGTACACTCAGCTGACGAGTCCCAAATAGAACGAAACGCGCGTCAAACTGGATTCGACTACTAGCCACTATCTATCTTTGCTTATAAATGAATTTCAGTTAAGATATATGAAATAATCACATTCTAAATTCATTTGGTATTATTTGCTTGTATTATGGAATATGCTACTTGTGTTGATAGATATAAGTAGTATATGTATCATCAATCGAAAATGGAAGGTTAATAAGATCGAAGAATAAAGAACGAGAACAAAGAATGATTGGTGTAGAAATAAAGGAACAGTCAAGCCTGCGACAATTGATGAGCGTGTTGCAAATGAAGTATTTAAAGTATGGTTCTGAGATTTTACTAAGCCATTCTATAATTTCATGCTGAAATACATTGTGTTCTTGTTCACTACAGCACTATTGTTGTTTAGGACTGCAATTGATCTGTCTCTTGTTGGTAGATGTGTATCTTGGGCGGGTTGCTTCCATATTGCCTTAATTCACATGTTTTATAAACAAAAACGGATGGAAGCTAGTAGTGGAATTCAGGACACGAGTCCTAAGTAGATCGGAACTTAAGTCCTGGATTTCAATGCTAGCTACTTTATATATCTCTTCTTATAATAAAATTCCAGTGATGGTGCAGTGAACGATGGAATTCAGTTGGAAAAGACCAATTTATTGTTTAATGAGAAATTGCGGAGTACAGTATATATATCGTCAGTTGTCTCTTACAAACGTCATCGTCACTTCTTTCCTGTTGTTATCACAATTTCTCTTTGTTCACATTTCTGTTTTCTCTAATTCAATCATCTCAATCTTCTTCTGGTTTGCATTCCATTTCGGATTGGTGTTATATACTACTTATATCTGTCGACATAAGTAGTATACATAACAGTGGTATTAAATAGTCAGTTTCAAGATTGTCAATATGGAGATGTGATTATAGTAAGCATGACTGATTGCTTGACTATACCATTGTTTAGAGAACATCGTTTATAAATTCAACATGAATAATAATTTAGACAGAAGATAGTGATCTTTTAGTAATGTGGGACTTCTCAGCAAAGCATATCAATGACTCCACTAAAAATAGCATCCAAGACCTTCAAACCAAGCCCATAGCCCGTTACCTTTAAACCACTGTGTTGGAATTCAACGGTTTGAATTGACTTATGGAATTATTCAGACCACAAATTTTCGAGATGTCAATGCTTAGATGACTAAATTTATGAATACCAACTGCAAACCATATTCCTTTACTATGACAGACTAGGTACAGCTCAACTACATTGTTGACAACATCTATGACAATCATGCTAAGTAAAATGGTTTCAAATCTTACAGGAAGAGTTGTTCGTATCAAGAAAACCGATACTTGCTTACTTGCTTACTTAAGCCTGTTACTCCTTGTGGAGGAGCATCAGCCACACATCAGCATTCTCCATCCAATCCTGTCCTGGACAATTCTTTCTAGTTATTATTCATTCTTTTCATATCTGATTCTATTTCCTGATGTAATGTGTTCTTTGGTATTCCTCTTTCCCATTTCTATTCACGATTTCAAGTTAGGGCTTGACTCATGATACGGTTTGATGATTTCCTCAATGTATGTCTTATCCACTTCCAAAGTTTATTCTTAATTTCTTCTTCAGCTGGAAGTTGGTTTGTCTTCTATCACAGAAGAATGTTGCTGATGGTATCCAGTCAATGGATGTTGAGTATCTTGTGTACATTTTTGGATGATCATTGTTGTAGTTCTTGTTGCGAAGACAAAATCCCAAACAGATTCAACAAATTAAAGAATACAGATACACCTTGTTATTTACAACCAGATATTAAGGAATCTAGTTAGAATAGAGATTGTTAAACATGAACCATTCAATCGTTTTCCTTTCATTAAAGATATTGTTTGAAGGATTCATTCAAATAAATACATATCAGAAAGGTTTTAGTGGATATTATAATAATTTCAATAGTTGAGATGATGAGTCAATTGAATGTAGATCACCATGAAAAACCTGGAAGCACTGTCTGATGGCTGTTTTGTCCTACTGTGGGACTCACTAGTGACTGGCTTCAAGAGGTATTTCGTGGAGTTTTCGTGAGAAGCTGTGACCAGTGGAGTTCAAGCGATTCATTAAAGACATTAGTGGATGTGTTACTGAATTTCGTAGATTTATTGAAGTTAAACATTCACACCGTTAGATACCGAGTCACTAGTCTGAAGGTTAGGTGATCACACGCAATACTGATAGGTCCTATGTTCAAATCTCACGAGGCATGATCATGGTTGCACACTATCATTGAAGAGTTTCACAATAGGATGAAACGATCATCCAGTACTTTCAAGTTACCAAATGATGATCTCACATCAATCGATTCATGATCTCAACTATTGCAACTAAATCCATACAACTTTCAGAATGTTTATTGTTGAACGATACCTATGAAATCACAATGATCATGTTCACTTGTTTGGATTTTATTTTTTCTTATATTTTTAAATAGGTGGTGCATTAGCTCATAGTTTGGCTATTATGACAGATGCTGCACATTTATTAACGGATTTTGCTAGTTTCTTAATCAGTCTATTAGCTTTATATTTAGCATCAAGACCATCTACAAAACGTATGAGTTTTGGATGGCATCGTGCTGGTAATTCATTTTCTATTTCATATCATGTATACAAAGTATTTAAATGATCTAGATTATCATAATGGAATGGTGAGAAGGAAGAGGAAAGTGGTTATTGAATGTTATAGAGATATTCTTTGTTATCCATGTTTAATGATTATCGATCATAATATTGATCATAAATTGAAATCAATCAAATAATCAATAATGATCAGATTTCTTTCTATCATTATTTTATATTGATTTTTCGGTTAATCCTTCATGTACTCGGTCAGATGATAATTGATTATGGATAACCTTTGAGTGATGTTAGACTGATCTAGAGAGTATTCACCTATTAAACCAGGATCAAATGAGGGTTACAGTTGATAGTTAAGATTTTTATCATGATTTGATATCAGTTATAATGCCGAAATTTCATTTAGCCAAATGAGTGAATGAATTTCACGCCAAAATTCAAGATCTATAGTCTTAAATCTGATTGGTTCATTCATAAACTATAGTCTCGTTGAAATCATGAACAGTGGAGTTCAACTATATCGAGAATTAATCATATTGATTGAGATCTTGAACTGATTGAGTTTAGACCATCATTGAAAATCTGAAAGCACTGGACGGCTGTTTCGTCCTACTGTGGGACTCCTCAGCAGTGCACATTCATAATCCCGTGTCGGGTAGAGACAGGTATCTACCTTAGTACAATGGGAGATGGTTGCACAATTTCGTGGATTGGTTGAAGTTAGACATTAACACTGTTGGATACCGGCTCAGTGGTCTAAAGGATAAGCATTCGCGAGCGTGACCTGAGATCCTGGGTTCGAATCCTGAGGGAAGGATTGAGGATGTGCACTGTTGAGGAGTCCCATAGTAGGACGAAACAGCCGTCCAGTGCTTGCAGGTTTTCAATCGTGGTCTAATATCAATCGGTCCATAATCTCAATCAGTAACTTAATAATCTTCACAACCCTATACTTATAATTAATCACATATCAGAGGCAAACCGATAAAAGCTAGAAATGTAAACAACTTATAGTGTCTAGTGCCGCATCATGTCCATATGGCTTATTCTATTTTTTGAACAGACCAATTTGCTCATTCTTCTTGATTCACATTTTGATTTGACTACTTACAGGCTTATTAACCCTGACTGTTTTTAGATGGTTGTTATGTGTGTTAATTACTTACCCTAATCATCATGCGTTTGTAACTTATTTATGTTTGACTATAAATATCGAGTAAGGACTGATTAAATCAATATGGCTCATATACCATCTCCACCTCGCATAATTTCCTTTCGATTCTTCATCTCTTTCCCTGATCGTCTTTTTGGATTAACAATTGAAGTCAGATACACATAAGCCACTAAATTGATGAGTCTAACAGTGAACCTAACTCAACAAACTACATCGATGAAGAACTTTTCACACACTTCATACAAATTCAGTGCAGTTTACTTCATCGAAAAACTGAATTCCATCTCTCTGGTATAAGAATATTGTGTTCATTGAAAGAATGGAACATCCTGTGTTCAATTATGCATAAGATCATAGATATATACCGGTTAAAAGGTATTCAGATGACTCTTTCTGATTAAAATTATTCATTATCTAAGTATGTAAAGTGTTATAACGCTCGGTTGTCTTTGTCTACACGAATGGGACGTTAATTTATCTTAGGAGGAATATCTACATTAGATTCCATTCGAGTGTCTATTCTACAGGATTTCAATATGACTCGAATCAAGAACAAGTGACTTGCCTGACTAGAACGTATGTATATTTCCACACTAAAAACCTACAATAATGATAATATGGGTAGGAGATTATGTAACTTATCTAGTACCAGTCAGACTATCTACTACTCTGACTAAGCATACAATCAGTCGTTATTATCCTCACCTACACATCACAGAAAGTGATATTTGTAACTATGCTTATTCTATAATAAAAAGATGTACTGGAATGAGTAAAATGATCCAAATGACAAGAAAGTCCCCCCCCTCTCAGTACCAATTAGCTAACCAAAACCCATACAATATCAATGTCAAGTAAATGATGGTTAAAAGTAAATCGAGGGTGTTTTTGGAGTATACATATACATGATGAAGCATCCCTTTCAGTATTAGTAAATGTATATTGAATGAAGTGTTCAAAGATGTTTAGGCATTATCCATATTTTTAAGCCCACACAGTATAAATATGATTCCTTGATCATTTACTTATTGTTTCTAAGGTTTTGTTTATGTTTACACCTTAGATCATAGAGATGAATCCAAAAGGAAGGAATATTAATTTCACAGAAGATAATGATATATACAAGCCAGAGTCAGATAGATTACAAGCGGTCTCAAATGAAAGATAGTCAGTCACTCAGTTACAATGTAGGACCAGACATATATATACATCGGTTCAAGTAGCCATACCTTATTAGGACAGCAAGATGAACACTGGATTCATAGAAGTGGTTAATTCAGTAGTGGTAATATATAAAAGAAAGATTGCAATAAGGATACAGTACAGGAAGAAAGAAGTAGTTCATAGAAAGAACGATATAAAGTAATTTTAATCTGATAGTTTAAGAGAACACAGAGAGTGTATACACCGACTCCATTGTGATCGATTCTGAGCCATGTCACCTAGAGTCTTCAACCATTGGTTACGATAGTCACGCGGACCTCAACCAAGTAGTCTGCATTTATTTCCATGGCTCAGATTAGAAGTTAGTGATTTCAAGCACTGATGCCACATTTTGGTTTGGCTGTCGCCAACTTTCTTCCAACTATTCTCAACACTAGTCAGCATTGTGCTTCGTGTTCATCGGTGTTCAGGTATACATAACACGTGACCAAACCATCTCAGTTGATGAAGATTCACAACCTCATCAACTGATTCACCATCATCATTCCCTAATACCCTACGTCTAACCTCACTAATACTTACCCTATGATCCTAGCAGATGCGAGCAATATTTCTAAGGCATCTGTGGTCAAATACTAGTATAGCTTACGAGTATCTACTACCTTTAACGGTCATGTTACGTAACCATAAAGTAGAACAGAACGAACTCCTGCGCAGTAAACTAGTCTTTAAACTTGATAGACGGATATTTCGCCTCCGTTATAGGTGTATGTATTGACTTTAAGGTTCAGTAAATTACTTATCTGATCAAAGTCATCATACGTGTAAATTCCTGTCAGCCTAGCAACTTATAAATCTGAATGGGTTCTTTTCAATATTACACCTTCTAACACATTCTTGATCTCTATATTCTTCACCGATGTATCAACGAACGTTACAACACATGCATAGTGATTGAATCAAACGAATCATAAAACGACTATTATGTTAGATAGCTGACATTACTTATTTCATTGATTTATATTAATATCATGATTACAATAGTCAAGTCTATGTATTCTTATCTTATTTGATTACAATTCAAGAGGTTGTCGGTGCATTGGCATCTGTTCTATTAATTTGGCTTGTTACTGGTATATTAGTCTATTTGGCTGTGATACGTATTATACATAATAATTATGAAATCAATGGTAAAATTATGCTTATTACATCAGCTACTGGTGTTGGAGTCAATATCATGTGAGTATTTGTTTACTATTGAATATCATAATCATTCTTATCTAATTAAATAATCTGCCAAATCGATCATCATCAAGGTTCAAGACAATTTGGTAGTCACTTTCTGTGATAGTGTAGTGAATGAGAACATAAGGGAAGATAAACGAATGTGACCGAATGAACATCACACTTACAAAACACCTTACTTACTACTTACTTAAGCCTGTTACCTCTAATGGAGCATAAGCCGCAGACCAGTATTCTTCAACCCACTCTCTATCCTGGTCCTTCCTTTCCAGTTCATTCTTCTCATATCTGTCTCCCTTTCTCGGAGTATTCTGTTCTTTCGTTTACCTTTACTCTTTTGGTGTTGAGGATTTCAAGTAACTGCTTGTTTTGTGATACAATTGAGTGCTTTCCTCAATGTGTGTCCGATCCACTTCCAGCGCTTTCTCCTGATTCCTTCCTCCACTAGAATTTGGTTCATTCTCTCCTACAGTAAATTCTTCATTTGCAAAATATTAATCAATTGTCTCAAACTTAACTATTCCTTTATTTCCACACCAATCATTCTTCATTCTCATTGTCTTTTCTTTGATCTTCATAACCTTCTGCCTCCAAGCACTTCACTTTCGATTGGTGATACATACTACTTATATCTATCAACATCAGTAGCACATATCACAGTATAAATAAGAAAATAATAGCAATATCTTGTTTAACAAAGGTTTTTCTTACCTCATTGATCAGTCACTTTTAAAAAAGTTACCAAAGTTCAGTTGGTATTGTTTGCTTCTATATTCCCATTGATGTGTTAAGACTGCAATTGATCAATCTCTTATTGGCATATATGCATCCTATATGCATTGCCTCGATATTGCCTTAATTCACAAGGATTTTGAGCAAAGATGGATGGTGGATAGTAGTGGAATCCACTTTGACGCGTGCTTCGTCCTACTTGAGACTCGTCAGCTAGATGTACCTACATCTCACAGTTGATGTTCACTCCAGAACTCGAACCCGGTACCGTTCGCTACAAATACCATCGCGTTATCCACTTAGTTACTAAGTCCTGATAGCCACTTGCTTGTGCAATGAGGGTGCAGTTTAACTTCATCTGGATTCCACTGCTAGCCACTATCCATCTTTGCTTATAAAGTTACCTAAGATTATGTAATGTTTTGGTTTCGGATAGTAGATACTCAAATGTAGAAATTTTCTTCTTACAAATCTTACGTTATTAATCATATCATATTTGTCAATAGAACCGAATGACGAATCTCTTACAAGAATCCATCTCATTTAGTTTTGTTGATCATTGATTTCATTTGATCTGGATTAGATACAATCGACTATACTGATACAACTTAACTGATCAAATCATAATGGAGCCCGACTCAAACCTACAATCCAATCTTTGTAATTCAAGCAACTTAGCAATTCATTTACCTCCACATTGATTAGAATGTATTATTGTTCAGTTTGAGAACAAAGGAAACAGCTTATAGAATAACTCACTTTGATGATTACTATATGATGAAGGATATTAAATTTTGACAACAAATAGGTTCGTATAATCATTAGATCCATGCTCTTGAACTATGTACATAGTATTTGTGACATCAGCTTGCAGTGTGGCGTCGAGTCGTGATTGACTATGATCACCACTACAAGAAGGTTACGTACCAGATATCAGAGGGCGATTGGAGGTTGTAGCGAGATATATTTGTTGGCGATCTCGTGGTATCGAAAGAATACCGAGATCGTGCTAAAGAAGTACAAGTAGAATCACTGAGCAAACGTAAATGCGTGCAAGGTCACAACCAAAGGAAGGAAGAATGTCTTTTTGGTACGGTTAAACAAACAAGTACAGTAAAACAATCCCTGGTACAATTGGTTTTCATTCTAAGATAAGACAGCTGTCTGATTTCAATTTGTGATGGATATCCCATTTTTAAAAAAAACGATCTAACAGAAACTTTTAAACTGAGGAAGAGCCAATATCATGTTCCCATAATCAGTTTTACTAATTGAATTCCATTGATCAATTTAAGATGTAGCGCATTAGTCTGAATGACTATCAACATTAAAATGGATTTATCAAAATTGCACTATTAACATTTTTGATTGAGATCATAATCCGGTTAATGTTAAACCACTATGGAAAACCTGGAAGCACTAGACCGTCCTATGTGCGGATCTCGCGAGTCGGGATCGTGAATACACACTGCTGAGGAGTCCTACAATAGGATGGAACAGCTATCCAGTAGTTCCAGGTTTTCAGTGTTGTTGGTAGATGCAGACTAATTAGTCGGAGTCCCAATGGCTATCGCAACCAATGATTTGAGACTCAGCGTGACATGGCTCAGAATCGATCACAATAGCGTAGGTGTATACACTCTCTGTCTTCTCTTAAACCATGAGATTAAAATCACTTCATACCTTTCTTTCTACGAACTAATTCTTTCTTCCTGTATTATATCCTTATATACAATCTTTCTTTTATATACTACCAGCACTGAAGTAACTATGTAGCAACTCATGTGCAATTGAGTTTGTTCTCATTTAATTCGGTTAAGCCCTTTTGTTAACTTATTTAGCGGACAAAGTCATCCGTACTATAACAACTTATTGTACCTTTATTATTATTGTGCTTGTATGAAATATGTATGCTTGAACATTGCTTATCGCCTACGCATATATTCATTCTGCTAGCTTTATTATTAACTGCCTAATTGATTCGAGGATCTATTCATTTCCCTATATGTATACATGTACATTGAACACTCGACACTCTCGGTTCGATGACCCATTCATTCGTCTCACTGCTTTGTGATCTGAATTATCTGCTAATAAAACTGTAGTCGTTGCTTCTCTTTGCCTACTGATTTCAAACACCGTTAAGGAATATATGATAACGGTTACAAGAGTGATTGATCAACGAAGCACAGTCACTACAACTACGTCGATGAATTCGGTATTGATCTTGTTGTACTAATGAGGTATAACAACTTGAACCGATGTATATATATATATATATATATATATATATATATATATATATATATATATATGGCTAATCCAACATTGTAGCTGATTGACTGATTGAGTTCATTATCTCAATCTCTACAACTTTATATTTTTTCTTCTTTCAGTATGTTATTCACATTACATAATCATGATCATAATCATAATTCATTAAATGAACATTCTCATCAAGAGTTAAATTCATTTCCTAGAACTCATATTAATCATTTAACTAACAATAATCATTCACATGAAATTAATCATGATATTCATAAAGAATTTAATCGTCCAAATATTACTGTACGTGCTGCATTTATTCATGTGATTGGAGATCTATTACAAAGTATTGGTGTAATGATTGCAGCAATGGTTATATATTTTCAAGTAATCAATAGTTGTTTTTCTTTCTGTCTTTATTTGTTTCATATTAATAATCTATTCATTATAAAGAAAGATTATGATGATGATGATGATTCCGATTGGATTGTATGCCTGTTACTCTTTGTGGACGAGCATAAGCCATACATCAGCATTCTTCATCCAATCATCTGCTTACTAGTGACTGACTTCAAGAGATACTCCTGGAGTTCTAGTGGGAAGCCGTTACCAGTGGAGTACAACCAGGTCTGTTGTGAGATATCAGCTCACTGAAGACAATGGTATATGGTGGCGCAACTTCGTGGATTGGTTGAAGTTAGACATTAACACCGTTGGGTGCCAGCTCAGTGGTCTAATGGTTAAGTGCTTGCGCGCGAAGCCAGTAGGTCCTGGGTCCGAGCCCCGCGTGGTGCGGGATCGTGGATGCGCACTGCTGAGGAGTCCCATACTAGGACGAAACGGCCGTCCAGTGCTTCCGGGTTTCCAATGGTGGTCTAGCTTCAACTGACTCATGATTTCAATCCGTGACAATCCTCTCTTAGATAATGCTTTCTAGTTATTATTCATTCTTTTCATATGTGATTCTATTTCATGATGTAATGTGTTCTTTGGTATTCCTCTTTCCTGCTTCCATTCACGATTTCAAGTTAGGGCTTGACTCGTGATGTGGTTTAATGATTTCTTCATTGTATATCTTATCCACTTCCAGCGCTTATTCCTGATTCCACCCCCCACTGGTATCTGGTTAGTTCTCTCCCATAGTAGGTTGTTGCTGATAGTGTCTGGTCAACGAATCCGAAGTATTTTGCGTATACAACTGTCAATAAACAGTGGTATCTTCTGAATGATGGCTTTCGTAGTTCTCCAAGTTTCCACCCCATACAGAAGAACTGTCTTGACATTTGCATTGAAAATTCAGACTTTGGTATTGGTTTGTAAACACTTGTTTTGAGTTACAGATGTTCTTCAATTGTAGATATGCTGCTCTTGCTTTTCCGATTCGCACCTTCACATCTGTACCAGATCCACCGTGTTCATCAATGATGCTGTCCAGATGCGTAAAGGTTTTTACATCTTTCAAATCTTCCCCGTCAATTATGATTCGAGTGTTGCATGCTGTGTTGTATCGGAGACTCTTGCTTTTCCCTTTGTGTATATTGAGACCTACTACTGATCACCTTTTCCTGCATTTGTTGTCGCATGTGCGGTAGAAGAGCCAGATAATCTGCAAGGTGTAGATCGTCCAGTTGTATCCTAGCTGTCCACTGTATCCCATGCTTCCCTCAACCCAGATGTTGATGTCTTTATAATCCATCATCATCATCAAGAGAAACAAAAAGGTTAAGAGTAAGCAATCTTGTCTGACACCGATCTTTACATCAAACGAACTCCACTAGACACCCTACTGAGTCTACTACTGGTCTCAAGTCCGGATAAAGGAGGAGGTTTAGGCGTAGGGTTAAAAACCCCATCCCATAGAAAAGTAACTCGCTAATCAGAAAAAAGCAATTCAAACCATGTTGAACTACGAATGTCATTTTAATATTGCCAAAATTTCTTTATTAAAAGAGGTTTTGTGGAGATTTTAGTAATTCCAATTGTTGAGATCATGGATCAATTGAATCTAGATCACCATGGAAAACCTGGAAGCATTGTTTGACGGCCGTTTCGTCCTATTATGGGAATCTTCAGTGGCAATACACATCCATAACCCCACCTCACTGGATTCGAACCGAAGAACCTACTGACCTCACGTGCAAGCACTCAACCACTAGACCATTGAGCCAGCATTCTACGGTGTTCATGTCTAACAGGAATCTTCGAGGTCGTAGATCCACACTGCCACTGAGAACTTCCACAATAGAACGAAACTCTCAACAAACAGTGCTTCCAGGTTTTCCATAATGGTCAAACTTCAACTGATTAATGATTTCAACTATTGAAATGGTTTGTTTGTTTATATATACTCATATATATACACACTTTTGTTTATTTTCTCTTCTGTTATTCTACTTATATCTCTGATGGATAAAAGCCAAAATATAAAATTATCGATCCATTATGTACATTTCTCTTTTCATTATTGGTCCTTATTACTACCATTAATATATTACGTGATGCATTAAATGTCTTAATGGAGGCTACACCACGTGGATTAAATTTTAATGAAGTGAAAAATTCATTAATGAATATAAATGGTGTCAAAGAAATACATAATTTACATATGTGGAGTTTAACAACCAATAAAACAGCTGTCTCAGTACATTTAGCTATTGGTAAGTAGCAATAGAAAAAGGTAATGAATGAATGAATGAATAAGAAAACAATTCATTCTTAAATGTTTGTTTAATATTTCTGTTATATTCGGTGGTCGCTGATTGCTGTGTCGGAAAAAAAAGCGCTGATCACTTATACTCGGAACGAGGGACCTCGGTAATTCCTACGACGCGAAAGTAAGAACACAAAGACTGGTATAAGTGAGGATTTATTAGCCCCAAAACACCTATGACAACGACGACGACCTTAGTCTAAAATACGCTGGTTTCTATATTGACTGTACACCCATTTAGATTAATAATTAGGATTGAATCACATACTCAGTTATAACAAATCACTTACTGAGCATAGTTCATGTCAATGGAATACAAGAATATCGTATATTATACAGAAGAAAATTTCATAATGGAAAAACAAATCAAATACTACACTGAATGATCCTCACGTTGAATGAAAAGGGATGTCAATGTTGAATCAAACTCATAATGAGTAATTCAATCGAAAATTGATTGTTCTTTCCATCATATCAGTTTCTCATTATTCATTTCGAATAGTAACAGGTTTAGATTTACTTGATATTCTTTGTTTGAATCTTTCGATCGATGTGTTAGGACTGCAATTGATCAGTCTCTTATTGGTATATGTACATACTGTGCATATTGCCTCGATACTGTCTTAATTCACAAGCTTTTTGTAAGCAATGATAGATAGTGGCTAGTAGTGGAATCCACTTTGACATGCGTTTCGTCCTATTTGGGATTCGTCAGCTGGATGTACCTGCATCTGAGCTGATGTTCACTCTGGGACTCGAACCCAGTACCATTCGCTTCAAACGCCATCGCGTTATCCACTTAGTTACTGAGTCCTGATAGCCACTTGCTTGTGCTTGAGGTTTAAGACTGCAATTGATCAGTCTCTTATTGGTATATGTGCATCTTGTGAGTATTGCCTCGATATTGCCTTAAGTCACAAGCTTTTTAAGTGAAGATGGATAGTGGCTAGTAATGGAATCCAGTTTGACGCGTGTTTCATCCTATTTGCAACTCTTCAGATGGATGTATTTGTACCTCAGAGTTGATGCTCACTCCGGAACTCGAACCCTGTACCGTTCCATCACGTTATCCACTTAGCTACTGAGTCCTGAATGATTGTCAATTCTGAGATGCAGGTACATTCATCTGATGAATCTCAAATAGGATGAAACGTGCGTTTCCTGGATTCCACTGCTAGCCACTATCTATCTTTACATATAGGTACAGGTTTATAATTACTAAAAACCATTATGAATCAATATCTTTCCCTGCTATAATAATCACTGAAAACCTATCTATACTGAAGACAATTCAATTGTGGATTAATTGAAGTTAATCTTATACACTATTGAATCTTGGCTTAGTAGTAGCGAAATCTTGAATGTTCAATACTGGATAATCCCATATTAGGATGGAACAGCAATTCATTGCTTCTTAGTACTTGCTAGTTCTTTTTAATTACATCAATTTGTGATGTGAGTAACATTCAACGTTTATCGTTATAATGTCCATTCGATTTTTGATATTTGCTTATGAGACTCGTTATCATACTACACATTACTTGTGCTTACTAGTGGCTAACTTTGGAATACACTTACAGAATTTCTAGTAAGGAAAATCTTTCAAGTTTAGCGTCAGAGAATAACTTCGAATTCGACGACCTCCACAACATTCTACGGTACCAACTATGATGATTAACTTCAAGGGGTAATTTCCAGAATTTTAGTGCGAAGTCATGATCAGTGAATTTCACCCATAATGACAGTGAGATAGTTACTTGCCAATGACTTTGAATGATGACCACAAAAATCCATAAGTTGAATAAAGCTAGGAATCTAAACCATTCGCTGCCAACTCCGCTGTCTGAATGTTCAGTGCTTTTTCATGAATCTAAAATTCCTGGGTAAGAACCCTAGTGGTGGGTCCACTGATGTATGCAGTAAAAGCGAATGTTTGGCGCTTTAACCGGATTGGTGGATATGGAGGATCAATCTAGGGGAGTTGGAAAACCCTCAATCCAAACCAATGGTGCATATGGTCTCCACGATCCTGAAGGAACGAATGGTGTACAAGCCTATTGTTGGTCAGCGGCTACCATAAGACTGCATCTCCTAACCATGCTCTACTGTCTTGTGAATCAGACCTTTAGGTCGAAGGCTTCGGATGTGGCCCCATACGAAAACCACTTGGTTCGGTTTGAGTATCTGGGCAGTATCACAGCTCACATACAAATTGAATGACTTGTATGGTGCATATGTATTCGATGCCTATTTGTACCAATATTTATGTGCTCAAATAAATAAATAAAATAGCCATTGAAAGACTCGGAATCACTGAGTAGCCATTTTGTCTTAGTATGTGACTCGTCCACAGTACACATCCATATTTCTGGTACGGATTTAAAACACAGAAGTTTCAACCTTCGTACTAAGATGAATAGACTATCCAATGCCCTATGGTTTTCTGTGTTATATCAAACCAATGTTGCACATGGACTCCACAATCTTGAAGGAACATACGGCGTTCAAACGTATCCAATGCTCTATGGTTTTCTGTGTTATCCTCTCCTTTCCCTCCCCCTCCGGCATGTCAATATCATTTTTAATGTCCTGGGTTCGAATCCCGCGAGGCGGGGTTTTGGATGCGCACTGCCACTGAGGAGTCCCACAACATGACGAAACGGCCGTCCAGTGCTCCCAGATTCTCTATGGTGGTCTAGCTCCAATGGACTCATGATCTCAACTGTTGAAATTGCTACAATCTTCACAAAAACTCCTTCTGATCCAAATTGTTCGTTTGTCTTTTTTTGTTTGTTTCATATTAGAAAATGATTCAAATGCACAAGAAATATTAAAACAAGCAAATCATCTATTAAAACAACGTTATTTAGCACATGATGTTACAATACAATTAGAATTATATGTTAAAGAAATGGCTGATTGTTATCAATGTAAAGAACCATCAAAATAAGTAGTATATAAAAAAAAGTAACTATATTCACAGTGATAATATTGTACTTCATCTATACACTTATATTCAAACGAATTAAATATTATATATTCTTTATTCAAATAAATAATATCTGATATTATCTTCATTGTATTCAATAGTTTATTAGATAACTAATCTCTATGATGAAACTGAATATATATATTTATCTTTATATTCAATATTTTTGTTTAGTAATTTGATCTACTTATAAGTAGTATAATCATATTAACTCAAAAATTGTCATTTGAAGTACTTGATAGAGTAGATCTTACAATTAGTAGACTTTGTCTATAAACCTTATGATAAACTTATATAAGTTATAAAGACTGTTATACATAGAACTTCCTAAAGCTCTTGTTATTATTATTACTAATTGAAGTAATCCATTCATGTAATTCAATGAAACAAGTAAACACATTTAACTTCTCTATTTGTATCCATATTCCTTGAAGATTATTGAATCATTTTCTTGATTGAATTATATCCATCAATCTATTGAATGATTATGTAATAACTTTGATTTTCTTTTTTACAAATCATGATAGACTACTTATTTATTTAGCTTGTTATATTACTTATTTCATTAAGGTGTATATCTCTATATAGATAGATAGACAGATAGAGATATAATGACTGAAGTATATTGTGCATTTATGATGATTATGTTCCCTTTCACAATGATGATGTAACTGTTTCCAATCATTTGAATGAAAGATTCATATTGTTTTAATCAGGTTATTTAAGGTTAGATTTGATGAATGATTTCATATAAACACATTTCATTATAGATTAGAATCTTCTTTTTTTAACTTGATTATAAAAATTACATGAAAAGAGAAGATGGTATAGTCAATCATTATTAAATAATTATAGATAATTCGATTATAAAGTTTTTGATTGAGATCATGAACCGATTGATGTTAGAGCATCACAATTGAAAACCTGGAAGTACTGGACGGCCGTTTCGTCTTATTGTGGGACTCCTCAGCCGTGCGTATGCACGATCCCGCTCACAGGATTCCAACCCAGGACCTTCAGTCTCGCGTGCGAACGCTTTATCTACTGGACCACTGAGTCGGCATCCAGTGGTATTAATGTCTAACCTCAACCAATCCACAAAGTAGCGCGACCATCTCCCATTGTACTGAGGTAGATAACTGTCTCTATCCTACAAGGATTAGCTCCACTGATCACGGCTTCTCACTAGAACTCCGAGAATTCCCTCACGAAGCTAGTCACTAGTGAGCACATGTTAATTACTAGTATAGGGGTTGTGGAGATTATTAAGTTTTTGATTGAGAACATGAACCGATTGATGTTAGAGTATTACAATTGAAAACCTGGAAGTACTGGACGGCTGTTTCGTCCTATTGTGGGACTCCTCAGCAGTGCGCATCCATTATAATAAAATGGTGATTGAGATCGTGCACAGACCAAATTACGACACTAGGGATCATCATCGAACAATCAATTGAGTGGAATTCGTCAGTGAACATCAACTTCATTGATTATGAAAAGGCGTTTGACAATGTAGATAGAAGAACATTATGAAAACTTCTTCAATACTATGGAGTTCCTAAGAAGATTGTCAATATTATTCGGAATTCATACAACGGACTACAGTGCAAAGTCTTGCATGGAAGACAACTGACAGATGCATTCTAAATAAGGACTGAAGTCGCACAAGGCTGTCTGCTCTCTCTCTTTCTCTTTTTTCTGGTGGTCGACTGGATTATGAAGACCTCGACATTTAAGGGAAAACACGGCATATAATGGACAGCTCAGAACCAAATAGACAATTTGGACTTTGTAGATGACCTAGCCCTCATATCGCATACACACGAAGAAATACAGATAAAGACAGTTAGTATAGCAGCAGTCCCTGCATCATCAGGCCTCAACATACACAACGGGAAAACCAAAGTACTCAAATACAACATGGAGAACAACCCAATCATATTTGATGACGAAACTATGGGAGATGTGGAGTCGTTCACATACCTGGGAAGAATTATTGATGAACAAAAAGGATCAGATGCAGACGTAAAGGCGAGGATTGGCAAAGCACTGGCCGCATTCCTACATCTGAAGAACATATGGAACTCAAAATAACTATCTATCAACCAATATTAAAGTGAGAATCTTCAATACGAACGTCAAGGCAGTTCTACTATACGGGGCTGAAACATGGAGAACTACCACGACAATCATCGAAAGTGTATAAGTATTTATAAACAATTGTCTACTGAAGATACTCAACATCCGTTGACCGTATGCCATGATCAACAGCGTACAGTGAGAGAGGACAAACCAGGTTCCATCTGAGGATGGAGTTAGAAAGAAGCACTGGAAGTGGATAGGACATACATTATGCAAACCATCAAACTGCATCACGAGGCAAGCCCTGACCTGGAATGCTGAATGGAAGCGGAAAAGAGGAAGGTCATAGAACACAATACGTCGGGAAATAGAATCAGATATGAAAAGAATGAATTACAACTGGAAAGAGCTGGAAAGGATTGCCCAGGACAGGGTTGAATGGAGAATGCTGGTGAGTGGCCTATGCTCCTTCACGAGGAGTAATAGGCATATATCATGGTATACCATTATCAAGATGGTGACTGGAAGTAGTCAATAGGAAACTCTGAATCTAGGTTCCCTTAAGATTATAGGTACAGCTTGTTGACATGTGCCAAGTAGTATGTAACGTGGATTCAGAGTTTCTTGTTCACTACCTTCAATCATCATCTTATTTTAACATAGTGTTGGTGACGTTAGATCCCCAGAACTCACTTGGAAAAGGTCCGAATTTCGTAATTTTATTTAGAAAATTTGAATTTCTTCGTTTTCGCGCCAAAAGCGCTCATTTTCACCTTCATGTCGTATTTCCTACTTGGGAGTATCTTAAACGCCATTGATTCGTTGTGTCTTTTAGTATGCTCTTTTGTAACACTTCCCAAGGAAAGTTTTGTGCTGTATATATACGTTTGGATTTGTGTCTGTTGTTATCGCTCTTGCTTTTGGCTTTTTGCGGAATATACTTTCCCATTCGGACTTCGATTTCTCTCTCTAGTTAACAAGGCTGGGACGCAATAGAATAGCTAGTTTATTGGTCTTTTGTCACAAGTCTTTGTTCCGTTCTCAGTCCAAGTGAACTCGTAACCGCTTCAAACCTAGAACATAGTGAACGCAATGTTGAGTCACTATACTACAGCTTGATCGATAGGATTTGATCTACATTGAGAAGGATCTGATATATATGACAGTGATCACCATTCAGTGATCAATCAATTGTAAGTAATTATATTTTTTAGTTAGTAGTATTTAATGAAATCCATTAAAGGAGAACTAATTCTAATGTTCGACTATTCAATCGAAAGAAATTTACATATGTGTCCTCATTGAGATGTAATCAGAAGACTGAAAAACCAAGATACTATGTCACTTTCGATGAATAGTCAATTGGATAAAACGTCTATATTGGAAATCACTATTTTTGTGACTTTAAGCTCGACTTATTCGTCAGTCGGAATACGATTTACACAATCTTAGCACTATATCAAACCAATGACGTTCAATCAGTATGAATAGCCTAGAGTCCTTATTGATCCTTCTTCCTTCTAGCCCTGCCAGTTGAGTCCAGAACACCATTACAAGCTTCTATTATATGAACCATTTATTCCAAACATATTGGGTTTATATACCAGCCAAATAGACCGCATCACGCCATAAAATAGGAAACAACATTTGTACAAGATCAAGCCAAAAGGTGGCTGTGAACGTGGGAGACGGTAATTAATAAACTGAACATAACTTAAGAATAGTAAATTGTATTACAATAGCCTATAGGTTAAAATAAAGCTTATAATAAGAGGAATATAGATATACATAATCTAGTTACTGAATAGTCATTCAATATTAGTCCATTTACAGTTCATAGAAGTTACCCGTAATGTTTGCTATAATCCAGTGGTAAATACTAAGAATCCCCGGTACTTCTGTTCAAGAAGTTAGCATATCAACAATAATTGATCAATTCCCTTTTAATTGTCATGAAAAAGAAACATTTAAGGTCCTTTACATAATCTCATACAAATGACAGAATATCATTTAGATACTATGTGGTTGGTGGCGGGGGGGGGGTAGGAGATATTCATTTACATAGTCTTAATCACTCGACTCATTCACTGTTCATATCAGAAGGGTTTTGTGGATATTATGGTAATTTCAATGATTTTGAAGTCATGAATCAATTGAAGCTAGACCACCATGGAAAACCTGGAAGCACTGGAGGGCCGTTTTGCCCTGTTTTTTATATATTTTACTCTTCAGAAATCATACTCAATTTAGATGATTATTACAGTTGCTATATAGATTTCTAAATTGTGGTTCATTGAAATCTTGTATTTTATAAGTCCGAGTAGTAAAGATACTTGTGGTTAATCAACTTATCTTCTAGTGTTCATAATTGATATTGAAGAATATGATTAATAAAGCTGTTTATAGACTGTCTAAAGATTACCGTAACGGAATTCGTAGTGCCGAAATGAATGTAACACTATAAAACTACATTACTTACTTACTTACGCCTGTTACTCCCAATGGAGCATAGGCCGCAGACCAGCATTCTCCAACCCACCCTGTCCTGGGCCTTCTTTTCTAATTCCATCCAATTCTTGTTCATTTTTCTCATGTCTATCTGCATTTCCCGGCATAATGTGTTCTTTGGTCTTCCTCTTTTCCTTTGGCCCTAAGGATTCGATGTGAGGGATTGTCTTGTGACACAGTTGGATGCTTTCCTCAATGTGTGTCCTATCCACTTCTAGAGCTTCTTCCTAATTTCTTCCTCCGCTGGGATCTGGTTTTTTCTCTCCCATAGTAGGTTGTTTCTGATAGTGTCCGGCCATGAAACTACATTAGATCCATTATAAAAAGATACCTCTAGAAAATTAGTATTCTTATTTCCTCTTCTTGAATTAAGAAACTATTTTGTCCTTAAATTTCATTACGAATACGTAATGTACTATCCTTTGTGTTAATTTTAATGAAGCGTCCAACTACACGTTTGAGATATACTTGAATATAAGGTTCGCATACAACGATCTGTCTAAAAAACAGTTCTATTGTGTTAAGGAATACGGATAAGCTGTCTACAAACATCAACTCGTTAAGTATCTATGGAGATTAATGTATCTGTATGTTTGAAAAGAGAAAAGCTTTCTGTATTGATAACACACAAATTAATTGTAACATACGATAGCGTAAATGGTAGTTGGTAGTTGTCTTGCATCACATCGGCATCAGATCCACCGTGATCATTAATGACGCTGCCCAGATATATAAAGGTTTTTGGTGAGATTCTAATTTATGGACGACGACCTGTGAACGAATCTTAAGTAATCTTGAGGACTATTAGCCAATCAGCAAACAGTCAGTATAGAGTAAAAATATGTTATACAATACCAAGGAAATAAAGTGGATACACTTCTTATACGTGGTTCAAAAACTTGTCAAGGTTGGAAAGAGGTTCAGAGGTTCTAAAATCGAAATGCATGCAGTAGAGGAAATCATCCATACGACTACAGAATAGTCGGCGTCTCGAGCCATGATAAAGTCTCAAATACTCTTTCAGCCATGACCACACACATAGCTTCAATATTGTTTAAGTGCACTCCGGTTGTTGAGTGCACAAAATGCTACGTGTGGATAACAACATGATGCACATAATCAGGCCTATGTAGAAGTCTGTACGCTCTCCAAACATCAGCATATATTGTAGTACCTGGCTGCAACCAGTGTTACTGGTGCTTTTATTATCCAGTTCGCAATAATTGTCATAATTTGTCTTAGTTAGGAATTATATATAGGGTTTTCATCACGAACTGACATCAGTTATAATGCTAGAAATTTA